TAAATCTTGATTTAAAACTCGAGATAAAAATCTATGAGATCAACGTTGTGCTCTGAAAACAAAGCTCTTACAGATGATGTATAAAAACAGATAATTTTTTCTTCCAATTTGGCATTGTCTAAAGGAATCTATCAGCTTTTCAAAAATCACATCCCTATGTTTCGGAAACTTTCGAAAGTTAGTGCAAAATTATGTTTTTTGATATCAAGCGTAATGAAAAAAAAATGATTCGACGCAAATACAAGCGTGGCATCGAAGTAGGCTATGATCATCGGTAATTAAATTGTAATCAAATAACACTCAATTATCTTTAGACGAAAAAAAATCGCGTTACAGAATTGAGTATAATGCAATAAAAATGTCTCATGCAGAATTTCATTTCAAAACACATTTTGATCATTTTCTTGAGAGTAACCGTTCGCGAATTTGGCCCAGTTGATTGAAAATGGTTCTTAGCCTACACAGTTGAAAAAAGTAATGTGATTTTCTATCACTATGATGCATATAAAAGGAGCGTCATGTATCATACAAGTTAACATTCAAAATATTGTATGCAACATTTCTTGCAAGTTGTATTATGGAAGAAATATACACTCAAGTCTTTTTTTACACGGGGGTTACGTACTGCGTAAAAAAAACCGTGTAAAAAAAACCGCGTTGTTTCAAAAAACCACGTCCTTTCAAAAAACCGTTTAAAAAAACCGCGATATTTAAAAAAAAAACCGTTTAAAAAAAACCATGTGTTTCACAAAACCGTGTGATAAGCCCGTGTTATTTCAAAATTCATCATAACAAAAAACTGAGCAGTGTGCATGGAATTTTATTCGGTACTTGTAAGTCATGATCACCTAGAACATATTCGTTCATGATAAAGTTCTTCTGGAGGTAAAGACCTTTCGAATGCTTTGATCACACCATTTCGGAATTTTCTCTCATTTGTAAATCCTAACCATCTTGAAAGCAGCTGGCTTCCACAAAGCTGCTCCCGTAGCTGTAGGTACATACATATGTGTATGATTTAATTATCTACGTGGGGCAAATGTGCATACCGTGGTGCACCCTAATTTCAATTCATAGTGATAGCAATGTTTAACATATTAAGCAGGGTTTTAATCATACAAAGCAGATCACTAGCTTTCATGCTAAAAAGTACTGGTTTTCGAGTCAAAAGTTATTATACGTCGTTTGGTGACCCCCTAAGGTTACTTAAGCCAAAGTCTTTTTACCAGGATATTCGGGAGAATTATCAATCACGTCTCCTTATGTGCAGCCCATTCATCATTTTTTTTTTCCTTTGGTTTGTTTTTTCCGTCGATCTTGTTTTCCGTGCTGAGCACCAATGCTACCGACGTGCCAGGAAGGCAGCTCCCACACCTGGACCCTACCTATCGACCCATCAACTCATAAACCGGGGACCAACGGCTTTACTTCCCATCCGAAGGAAGGCGTGATCAGAGATGTTATGCCTCAGAACATCCCGGCGGCACCGACTGGGATTGAATCCAGGCCTGCTGGGGTGAGAGGTAATCACGCTTACCACTATACCACCGGCGCCGTTAATTCATCATTTTAGGACCACCGAAGTCATCTTAGCCACAAACAGTTCGATTTATTCACTTTAATAATGAGAAAGCAAAACGACGAGGGCAAACATACTTTTGAATATAAAAACTAATTGCTTTGTAATGGAAGTTTACTCTTGAATTACGGTACATTACGGTAAAGGGTGATACGGTCAAAATTTGGTCAAGGGAAAACGCGTGTAAATCGGTGAAATCGTTTATTTAAAAAATCAAATTAAATTTCTTTTTCAAGTTCAATTAGTATAAAATTCAGGAAAAATATTCAGTTAGGCTTCCGCTTTTCCAAATCCGAATTGCCGGGCCTTACGCTTGACCCCTGCCATCAGATTTTGTACAGCCACCTTGTCCACCTTCTTCGCCGCAGAAAGCCAGTTTGCCTTGAACTGCTGCTCGCCCTTAGCAGTTTTTTGGTCTTCTTTAGGTTCCGCTTGACAATAGCCCAGTATTTCTCAATTGGGCGGAGCTCTGGCGTGTTGGGAGGGTTCTTGTCCTTGGGAACCACCTGCACGTTGTTGGCGGCGTACCACTCCATGGCCTTTTTACCGTAATGGCAAGATGCCAAATCCGGCCAAAACAGTACGGAACAACCGTGTTTCTTCAGGAAAGGCAGCAGACGTTTATTCAAACACTCTTTCACGTAAATTTCTTGGTTGACAGTCCCGGAAGCTATGAAAATGCTGCTTTTCAAGCCACAGGTACAGATGGCTTGCCAAACCAGATATTTCTTTGCGAACTTTGACAGTTTCATGTGCTTGAAAACATCTGCTACCTTTCCCCTTCCTTTTGCCGTATAAAACTCCTGTCCCGGAAGCTGCTTGTAGTCGGCTTTGACGTAGGTTTCGTCGTCCATTACCACGCAGTCAAACTTCGTCAGCATCGTCGTGTACAGCCTCCGGGATCGCGCTTTGGCCGTCGTATTTTGTTTATCATCGCGATTTGGAGTCACTACCTTCTTGTAAGTCGATAGTCCGGCTCGTTTTTTGGCTCGATGCACGGTTGTAGACGATACACCCAGCTTATTTGTGGCATCTCGGAGAGAGAGGTTAGGGTTTCGCTTGAAACTACCGGCAACTCTCTTTGTCGTCTCAGCGGCTTCCGGTTTTCGATTTCCCCCCGATCCAGACTTTCTGGCTGTCGACAAACGTTCCCCAAACACTTTAATTACATTTGTAACGGTTGATTTGGCAACTTTTAGCGATTTTGCCAACTTTGCGTGCGAGTAGCTCGGATTTTCGCGATGCGCGAGCAAAATTTTGATACGCTGCTCTTCTTGCTTGGACCGAGGGGGACGACTCTATCTACGATACAAAAAAGATTGTGTTTTGCTGTGGCTAGCTGCGCGCACGCTGAGTAGATAGAAAGAAGATTGATGACGATTCTGAAGATTTCCTGCAAAAAATTGATGAGCGATGCAAGTAGATGCGACAAATGAAAGAAGATTGTTCGAAGATTGATTCGCTAGTGTGAGATTTGTTGACCATCTAAACTTGAGATTTAGATGTGTCGCCCCCCTCGGCTTGGACGGCATTTTGACAACTGAAGAGTGAATTCCAAAATCAAAATAGGAGCAACATTCTACACACACACACCTTCAAAATGAGGGGTGTTCAGGTTTTTTAAATGTAAAATTGAAAGAAATACGTCAAGTTGATATTGACCAAATTTTGACCGTATCACCCTTTACACATAAACTTGCTGATTATGGTGATCCTCAAAATTTCGCCAAATAGCGAAAAATTAAACGATTTTAAGATTTTACCTCTCAGAATTACATTAAGCTGAGGGGTCAGAAGGAAAGGGTGTAAGTGACTTTGATCGATTCTCTTCATCGATTTTCTCTTTTGATAGCAGCTTTATAAATAGATTTCGCGCTATTTCTGCCACATAGTTTGATAAAGAAGCTTCTAATCTAGCATCCAGAATGGCACACGCATCAAGGAATGTGTTTGCAGCTGAATTATTAACGAAAGAGATGAAGAGAATCGATCAAAGTCACTTACACCCCTTTCCTTCTAACTCCCTCAATTGTAATTGTTCGGTAGAGACAATGAACCAGGTTTGTGTTGTAATTCAGCCATTTCCACTCGTGCATGGTAAAAATCTAGACGTGTAGAAGCCGGAAATCGATGATTCATGCCATTTTGGAGTCCAAGATGGCGGCTCCTGGTTTTGTGAAAAACTGTCAAATAGCCAACAATATGGATATTTTTGGAACCAAGACGACATACAGAGGCCGGAAATTGATGATTCATGCCATTTTGGAATCCAAGATGGCGGCTTCCAGTTTTGTGAAAAACTGTCAAATAGCCAACGATATGGATATTTTCGGAACGGGAACGACGTGTAGAGGCCGGAAATCGATGATTCACGCAATTTTGGAATCCAAAATGGTGGCTTCCGGTTTGTGAATGTTTCAAAAAAATGATATGCAACAAATTTTAATTAACTTTTTTTTCGATAATCTGTAATTAGTCTTCTTACATTTACAAGAACTTCATAAATTCAATGTTGAACAACATGTGATACCAGTGACTTGGTTGTGGAATGCATGTAGCACTAGAGGTTTGCTCAGCCGAGCTCGGTAGAAAAAAAACTAAGTGTGTGGATAGTACTTAACATAACAGGAACTGGGGTTGAAGTTGTCGCTGACCGAATAGTCAAAGTCATGAAACACAGTGAACGAAGAATCCTTGTCTCTGAAATCGATGTTTAGCCAATAAGACATCTTAGTACTTAGCTTAATACTTTCTTTGGCAAGTTTTAACTTCTACTTATCAGCAACACGGTAAAAATTATAAACCTGTATTTGAGGCAGTATGTAATTTTTACGAAATTTAACATCACATGTTTAGAGCACATGCAATTTGTATACTTATGTCAATATATGGTTTTCTACGTGTTACAAGAGCTGAAATACACTGAAAAAATATTTTACATCGTTTGTATTGGAAACGTACATAATGTTTCCAATAACAAAATTAATCTGCATATCACATAACAAAATAAATTCTATGTGAGTAATCATATAGATTTATGAGGACATATAAGGTTTACGTGATTTTGTGGTGCAATTTCCAATTATGAGATCACATGAATGTTATGCGGAATTCACATGGATATTTTCCACTGGATGTGATTTATTTTATGAGTGTATGTATAAATTAATAATATTAATTTTAAAGGTATCTCCAGGAACATTGATTTGAGGATTGTTGATTTGAGCAATTAATTTTGAATCAAAAATACAGTACAATGGAAGTGTTCATCGATGCACAGTAACACCATTCAACTGCAAATGATCAAAATTGTATTTTATTTATGCTTTAATTGAAACACATTTAATACACACATAAAAAAATAAATGCCTCGATTTCCATTCCAAGATTCGCCACAAAGTCCTGCATTTTTGCTCCGTCATCATCGCTTTCGCTTATCGTGGGCACATCGCATGACGTCCACCATCGATCGGTAAGCTCGCCCCGGTAATGAACGAAGCAGCATCGCTGGCCAAAAATACGATCGCATCGGCCACCTCGGTTGCCTGGCCGGGACGGCCCATGGCGTGCGTATTCTTGGAGTGTTCCAAAAACTTCTTGTACGTTTCCTCATCCATCCCGCCGCGCTTGTGCAGATTCGTTACCGTTACTCCCGGGTTCACGCAATTGACCCGAACGTTCTTGGCTGCCAGTTCCAGCGCTACGCAACGGGTGAACTGATCGACCGACATCTTCGAAATGTTGTACGCCAGCACTCCCGGGAACGAGCGGATTCCGTTCACGCTGGACACGTTGACTACATTTCCCTGCGATTTGATCAGATGCGGCACGGCCAGCATCGTCAAATGATAGATCGATCGGATGTTGGTGTTCATCACTCGATCAAACTGCTCCAGACTGGTAGTCTCGATCGTTCCGGTTTCGATGATACCCGCATTGTTCACCAGCACGTCCAACTTTCCAAACTTTTCAATCGTCGTCTTGAGGATCCGCTCCGTGTCGGCCTCCTGGCTGATGTCACCAGGGATAATAAGGGGTGCAGCCGCTCCCGCCGTGCATTCCTTGGCAACATTGTTCAGATTGTCCACCTTACGACCGGTCAGAGCGAGGGAAGCACCCAACTTGGACAGTTTGATTGCCGTGGCAGCACCGATTCCGCTGCTAGCTCCGGTGATTAGAATAACTTTACCGGTGAAATTCATCTTTATTATCGGCGTTTGATACTTGCGAGCAGAGAATTACGTAAATTGAACGATAGACTATAACTGACGCTGATTGCTGTGCTGTGTGTTGTGTAGCTAAGCCGGCTAGGTAAATAAAAACAAGCTGACCGAGTTAGTGGTTCTACAAGCGTATTGGTGCTGGGAAGGGAATGGAACATGTTCATTTGTGGCATAAGTTTAGGCGACTTAAAGGTTGATGTGGTGGATTAAAGTGCACAATCCAGTTGGATTCTTCTACCAAACGTGACAAGTTAAAATTACTTTGTTCATTTCTAGTGACAATTATCTGATTTAAATTGAATGATTATAATTAAAGCGTGCCATAACACCTCAGCGTCATCTAGGTATATCACTCAAGTCACTACTGATGGGAAATTTTTGAGAGGAGAATTTTGGAAGAAACTTCCAAATTCCGGAGAATGTTGGAAGAAACTTCCTGGGGAAGCTGACAAAATTTGTCAGGAGATAAACATCCAAGAAAATATGTGAAAGTGCTTTCGAAGCTAGTCGGAGGAAATTCTCATATAGAAAGTGTAGAGGCATTTATAGAGGAAGTCAGAAGACACTTTTGGGGAAAGTCAGAAGGAGCTTCCAGGATAAATCATGGAAAAAATCAGAAAAATCTTCCGGAGAAAGCCAAAATCTCTTCTGGGGGAATACTTAAGAAGCCTCCAGAAGAAGTTGGAGGAATATTCCGGTGGAAGTTGTAAGAAACATCGTAGTACAACTGGAACTAGCTTCCGTGTAAAGATGAAAGAAATTGGAAGAGCATTCCTGGGAAAAGTCAAAAGAAGTCAGCAGACATCATTCCAGGAGCAGTCATATGAAACAACTTCCAGTACATGTCTGAAGATGCTTTCAAAGAAAATTGGAAGAAATTTTCGGAGAAAAGAAGCCTCTGAAGGAAGTAAGAACAAACCAGCGATTTTAAGGAAGATACTTTTCCTTTCATTTTGAGACTAATTAAAAAAATCTTCGGGGACCTTTAACAAACAATTTCCTTTTTGGTGATAAGTTTTGGAATTTTGTATAGGAAAAGTGTTAGAAGTCGCCTGAATTTCCATCCCTTTAAGGAAATATCGTATAAGGTGTCGTGTCTTTTTTTTTTCTTTTGTGGCACCGGCGGGTTTTTTCTCGAAATCGATAGACATGTTTCACATCTCATCACGTAATTCTCAGCCTCCTTCGCCATGTTGGGCCACCAGAAGAACTCGCAAAGGATTCGTTTAGTCGCTCCACATCCTAGGTGTCCCTGGTGTCGTTCTCCTGTAGGTCGTTCCTATCTATTACAGTTTCGGAGTCCCACAGACTGGGAAACGTGCCACGGTATCGCCAACCCACCAGCAGCTCAAATGGCGTGACTCCCAGTCGCGAATGTTGTTTTCGTGTGTTGTGTACGTGTATGTAATTCTCTAACGCTGCTTTCCAGCTTGTCTTTTCTGCCTTCGCTGCAGCCAGAGCCTTGATCACGCCCTGGTTCTGCCGTTCAACTGCACCGTTCGATTGAGCACTGAGTGGAATTGCCTTATGTACTCGCACTCCTTTTACCTCCCAATAATCTATGAATTCCGTACTCTGAAACGGCGGAACCAGGGCGTGATCAAGGCTCTGGCTGCAGCGAAGGCAGAAAAGACAAGCTGGAAAGCAGCGTTAGAGAATTACATACACGTACACAACACACGAAAACAACATTCGCGACTGGGAGTCACGCCATTTGAGTCTTGTGATTGGCTTTAGTGAAGCAAGATCAATGAGTTGTTGTTTACTTCAGAGATGCGAAATATCCGAAAAGACACGACAATTGTCGTGTCTTTTCGGATATTTCGCATCTCTGAAGTAAACAACAACTCATTGATCTTGCTTCACTTAAGGCAATTACAAGACTGTCTTTTATTTTTATTTCTCTGTTTCTCTCCTGTTATACAATCGTTCTCATCCCACCTTCCTCTCCCTCTATTACTCCTTTGTCGACTTCTCACTCTCTCTACTTCTCTCCCTCTTATTATTCAGTTATTTCAAAACCCTTTTCAATCCCGTTATGATTTTTCCGAGTTTTTCTCAGTAACCCTCTCATCTTTCTTTACGAGCTTCTCGAATTCAATCATATTTTTCTTGCTATCCCTCTTGATCCCTACATAAGGGAGAGTTGATTGAATGGAAAAGAGCAAGAGTTGACCCAATTTACCGCTAGGTTCTGGGTGATCCTTAAATCCGGTGGAAACTAAAGATTTTGAATTGGCTCACTACTTGACTAGCCTATTGGTCCCAAGCAAATCGATTAGCGTACCCCATTCTAGTCAAAATTCTAGTCCTACACAATGTTTGTTTTGATTCACTATGAAAGTTTGACAGATAAAATGGGGGGTTCGTGATGAAAGCATATCGATATTAAAATTTGCAGTTCCTATCATAATGAAAACTTATTTTTAGTGCCGTCCCGTAACCTCACTTTTTACCTGAGCACCAGCTTTCAAAACCAGATTTAATGACATATTCATACTCGAATCGGTTGATAAATACACCTAATCTTCTAGTTTACTCGATATCTATCCATTGCAAGCAATATTTTGATAATTGTTTATGTTTTGAGAGTGGGTGCACAGGTGGATTGAGGTTAAGGAAACGCCACTGCTTATTTTGATTTCAATTGACACGACATTAGTCTGATATCATATTGTGCTTTCATTATGCAGTCAAGACTTTTTAAATTAAAGCAACTTAACTAAGTTCTGCTGTTAACGTCTTGTTTAAAATTTAATTTAAGCTCCTCTGTCGTTGAACTAACGATTAATGTTTATTTGTTTTGTTTAACACATTTTAGATCATTCGTTACATGCCCGGAGTGAGATTTGAGCTCAAGTCTTTCAGCGTGCGAAGCATGGATGCTAACGATTTATGCCAGGCCCGTTAATTAATTAATTAATTAAACATTATGAATGCAAAATTAGAAATCAAATTGATTTCTTTGAAAGCAAGATTAGTTTTCCGTTTGATTCAACAGTGTAAAAAATTGCTCTCATTTTTGTTGTGTTAACCTTTAAGTCAACCAAAATGAGATCAACTGGAGTATTCAAAATAAGTTACATCATAACAGCAAATTTTGATTTCAATTTGATCTCCATCTTTGCTCGGGAAAACACCACATGATAGAATAAACACCGTTCGGCGACCGGATGGAATTCGATTTTGAAATCTGTGTTAGGGAAAGCACTTTTTCCATGCAGTCGATGATAATTTTAATTATCATAGCAACAGTTGCACATTCATGCGATTTTCAATAGTGATCTTTTAAAAATTGATAGTCTAAGAAAAATTTCGTTTCAATCAAATTTCTATCAACTCTGGGTCAAAATCAGACCACTTTCAAGCCACAACCGACTTTGGTTTTTGAAATTGCACCCCCAATGTCGCCTTAAAAATGCATGGTATGATAGATTTAAACTTATGAGAACTAACATCCGATTGATGACATTGACAAATTCTCATTAACAAATTTATGGTGGTCCTGAAAAGGACCATTTTTTCGTGATGGTTGAGTAATTCTGAGCTATTGGGATGTTCAACACAGATAGCGAGTTGTATGTTGTTTGGAACGAAGGTGACTCGCTTAGCATAGATGGCCCACAGTGACTTACGAAGAGCTAATCAATCCGATCAGTAGCGGTGCGGCATCTTCCTCCTTCTTCGGTGAATGAACGCTCATGTGGGCTGCAGCTTGCTGCTTGCGTGCAGCCTTTCGTTGTTTACTGGAGAACAATGATCAACGCCACACGCCGAAAGCACTGCTGCTGATGATGACGACCGACTGGACACCACCACACACGCTGATTTAATAAGCACCGTTCGGCGACACCAGATGCAATTCGATTTTGAAATCTGTGTTAGGGAAAGCGCTTTTTGCAGGCAATCGGTGATAATTTTGATCACCATTGCAACAATTAGACATTTGTATAATTTTCAATAGTGACCTAGAAGTGTTCATTTTAGCAGATTCGTAGAAAAATTTCCAATCGGTTGGCTTGTTTAGAATTAAAATCTATCCGATATTGATAAAGTTATAAGTGGTCAAAACCTGACCACTTTTCGTAACGCGGTCGATTCTGTTTTTTTTTTTGCCGAAAGACGTAATCCTACGCCAAAAGTAAAGTGCTCTCCTTATTAAACCACAACTGAAAAGGAAATCTTTCCCCGATGGAGCATATTTCACATGTTGGCCCTCGTAAAGTTACAATTAGTGAACCACTGCCAACACCATATGGTATTTTTTTTTCAATCCTCCAGGAGGCAACTTGCCTTTTCTGTTTCCTTTTATAACAAATTGATTACAATATAATATTCTGGGGATGACGACAATGCTGGCCTGACTTCACCAACTGAACCTGGTGACTAATATGTAGCGGGTGAAGTTGACTCTAAATCATTGACAGTTTGAATTAACTCTAAATCATTTGATCAGTTTGAATGACAGAGGGCTGGGCTCCCGATTTAGTGAACGTCTTTGAAATTGATCAACTCTGCGGAACCCTACATCGTGATCAGTTCGAGATGATATCCTACTCCTATACCCACTTGCACTATCCAATTGGTTTAATCAGTTCAGTTATCGGTCCAGTGTTGACGTGACAGGGTTGTCGTCATAACCATCACCACGAATCTCCTTCCGGCAGAACTAGTAGATAGCATAGTTCTCTATATTGGAAGATGATATTCCAAAAAATATTCCTTACCTCTTCCAATCCTCCTAACCATGACGCATTTGGAACATGAGACACGAGGACGTCGTTACTTCCATCAATAATGGGTTAAGCAGCTTCATCGGCAAACCAGCATCGACTATGGAGGCCGGTAAAGGATCGATGATTTATTTTCCACCATCATCATCACGCAAACAACAATCAACAAATATTCAGTTGTCATCAGCATTACCATAACGCCTACTTGAGTGTTATCCTCACCATAATTGGATTTCACAAACCTGATAGATGTAATCAGGCCATCTAAACACTGTAGATCAATCAACTACTGGATCACAACACATTGTTCGGAGCTGTAATATAGGACAGTGATTAAAAAT